TCAAGATCATCGATCTTGTATAAATTTGTATATAATATGTATATACAAGCCGCATTTACTCACATCTAGATCGTAATCAATTTGCTTTTTTTTCTTCTTTCAACTTCACTCGTCACTGGTTATGTGCCGGATGTGGCACCAGTATCAAACCAACCTTCTTATCCACAATCAAACAGTCCTTATTCTAGTTCCAATTGATCTCACAGAATATAGTGTCAATAATAATAATAATAATTAACTCGTATAAACGACCGGTGAGAGTCAGCAATACTTCAAAATGATTTCACCTGCAACTTAGTCTGTAACGAGTCGAAGGGAGTTTAAGTGAACGTTTGACGCGAGCATGAGAGATTTCGAATTGAATTACTCGTGAATGACGATTACGATGGAAAGAAAAAGAGACTTCTTAGTGAAAGTTCAAATGTTCTGTAAGTTTTCATAATGTAATGAACAGCAGAAACATTTTTATGATGTATAAATTAATGGAACAATGTATAAATAAATATGGATTAAAAATGGAATTCGTTAAGCATCGAAGAATTTTACAATTTCTTGTTCTCGTCATAAACAGTAATCACCTCGTCGAGAGTGGCGATGATTTTTTTCTCAAATATTTCAGTGATCTGTAAGCTCAGAGTTATATTGAAGATGATGATGCTTTTACCTCATCCGATTTTTTTGGATTTTTCTGAACTTCAGAGAGATATATCGGTCCGACCATAGCATAAATGAGAAGAACTCCAAGTGGAAACACTCGTTTGTAACACTTTTCCAACTTAAACAGGAAATATAAGATGTCACAGAGAAGAATATGAGTTTTACTTGTTCAATCGTGAAAGGATTCTCTCCACCCATTTCAGCAGTCAAATAGCCATGAAAATCTTGAATCAACTGCTTTGTGTGAGAACGTCTCACATCAGCATTGATGTTACAAACTAAAAACATCAGGAAATCTATCATTGGATTCGTAAAGCAAACCAGCTGAAAAAAAAACATTCTTTTTGTCTTTTTTTCTTTAACTACCTGATAATCTACAATAGCTTTCAAGAACAACTCCCCGTTATCCTTACTACCCCATAACACGTTTGGGCTCCAGAGATCAAAATGAGCAAAAACTTCTTTCATATCTATAGAAGGCATGGTTTCCTAGCTGCCGTAAATGAACTCACTAAGCTCTTGACATAGTTCATCAAACATTTTCAAGTTTTCATCAGTACATAGATCATTAACGATGGTTTGTAACTTCTCCAACTTGTTTTGAACTTGTGGATGGTCAACATCCTTCAGACCCTCAATTGTCTGATTACACGTCTGAACAGAATTTATATAATTTTTTTTCTGATTTTTTTACCGTCTGCACGACATCTCTCCCAAAAAGATTCGTTAAAAAGTAATTTTGGTAGTATTTCTGGAACTCTTCACGGTGTTTCAAGCTGACTGCTTGCCACTTCGCAATAATTCTCAAAACCTTAAAACGGTCTTTAGAACAAATCAAGAAAATAGACAACTTCATGACAGTTATCGATAGATATGTTCCTATAAAGAGTAATAGGTTCCACATTTTCAATATATTCCATTATGAAGAAACCTTTGGAGTTGTTCGTTTCGTCCAAAGTTCTGTAGCCGAGAATCTGAAGACAAAGGAGGAGATTGAGAAAATCCAGACATCTTCTACCTTTCCTATAGCAAAACTTTCATCTCCATACTTATTGAACAAACTATACGTATCAATTTCAATTTTTAACAGCTGAAAACGCTTGACATGTGTCAGAATGATCGATATACTTACCTCTGGGCTTTTCATTTCTACGTAATCTGTGACTGAGCTAACGCCATCCATTTCTATCATCGACAACTGACTAATAATCTCAAATCATACAAATTAACAAGATGGAGCAACTTCAAAGCAACCTTGACAATGAACTTTTTCGGAAGATTAGGCGAAGCGTTTTGCCAATCAGGATTGATCAAACAAATTCGGGAAAGGAATCCCTGTTGTAATATAAATGTTAAACAGAAAAATATAAAAGAGCTTACTATGCCTTCACCAATGTTCGTTACTTTCCGATTACTTCCGAACGTCGCCGTAGTTCCTAATGCTTTTTGAACTTCTACCTCAATATCTTCCCACAAAACATGAGTTCCTAATAATCCTTCACCAACAGTTGAAAGAGGACCTGGCATCTTGTAAAGAGAGAAAGATAGAGAGAGTAGTAATTGAGAAAGCGTCTGAGAGATCTATGGAAGAATGGAGGTCCGGCCCCCTATTTATACATTGTAAGGCGACGTGTACTTAACTGAGAAAATCAATAAACGCAAATAAGGATGCTTTAAGGCTGTCAAAGTATCAGTATGTAAGCAATTAAAGCATAATTCGTAATTGAACATAACATAAGTAGTTTCTAATATTTATTAAACCAATAAGAACATTCATTTTTTTTCCAGATTTTATTGGTTACAAGAAGAAGTTGGTTGGGAATAAATACAATTTCTACGTGTTGAAGATGAAGTTAGGAATACTAACATAGCCGGGAGAATTATGTTTTAAAGGATGTTCAAGCAGTGCCCAGCACTATCGTTTTAATACAATTTCCAATTTTGATACTGCAAAAATGGTAAAACAGATAATTGGATGCATATGGCAGCTGTCACATTGAGGACAGAGGATATGTAATCCAATAGATGTTATTGATATTCTTTCATACTTATCAATCCATATTTGGCTGTAAGATGGTAAGAAGTTAGAGAGAGAGTCGAGGTAAGATGGAACAGTGTTGGTATAATCTATTGAGCTTTGCACTTGGTCAACATGAGGACTCTCATGTGCACTTTGATTAGAAATAAAAAAATTATTTTCTGATCTCAGAAGCAAATCATATTGGCAAGTAGGGAAGCCTTCAAGGAAACACTTTTTTTTATTCAAAAGTTTTGTGTTGTTTAAACTTTTTATGGATTTTCCTTGGCATCAAGAGAGGCACATATGTAATACATGACTAAGGTGGGAGACTAGCTCTTATTAAAGAAATGTACATACTTAGATGAGACTAAACGCAATCTGTACATATAGAATAGTCTTCAGATACAAATTAACCTGTTAATTTTGAAATTCATCCTAATCGCACAGGAAATTCATAAAAAAGAAACGAAAAGTAGTAAAACACGCCTTTTTTTGGTTAAACCTATGTTTCAATGATAGGAACGCAGGTCATCTTAAGGATATTTTTAATTTTTTTCTTTTCTTTTAGGATAGGTGCTATATATATACAAGTGACATTCGCTAATCAATTTCTTGATTAGACGAAGACAGAACTTCAGGGGAGTGATGAGGGAGTCTAAGGTGGAGTTACATGTGAGCCTACATGGCTTCACAAGAACAACTATATACATGGCTTACTTAACTAAACTTATAATTACATTCCTGCATTAAGATATCCTGCATCAATTCTAAGTGTAATCTTAAAGTATCTGATAAGAGTGATGATTGAAGGGGGGAGGGAATATAAAAAATTCTAAACCGGTGCGCGACGAGTGAAGTTGAAAGAAAAAAAAAGCAAATTGATTACGATCTAGATGTGAGTAAATGCGGCTTGTATATACATA